TTTCGCTCGCGCGCTCTGATCGAGGCGCTTCGAGGCGTTACGCCGGTGGCCCGGCCCGGAGTGAATTCTCCGGCTGCGCGCGGGGGATCGCGATCTGGGTGGGGGAGGGAGCGGGGGCGATCTTCTTCCAGCGTGCGCAGATACGCTGCCGTAAGCGCCGGCCTCTGCGGTTCCTCGATCGGCCGGCCGGCCCTGCGGCTACCCTTGCCATTACGGTCGTGGCTCCTAGCCTGCGGAGCTGTGCGTGCCTACCTCTCCTCGCCCACAAATGGCTACGCGCCATCAATTTGGGGCCGTTTGCAACATGGGAGTGGTAATCTCCCATGCAGGGTACGTGGATTCTAGTGCTTTGTTCATTGGTTTGATGGTGGTTATTGCGGTCAAAGCATCGATGGATTAGGGTTTATAGTAAAAGAGCCAATTAAAGAAGTACACCCATGGCTAGAAGATTGACTCCTAATCATACTGGCAAGACAACTAGACAAGATGAATTATTTGCAGTACTATACACGGGGAAGAAAGCAGTATGCGTATACAAGTAGTCGAATCAAGGTTGCGTTTCCATGCATCTTCCCGCCGGCCGGTGACCACAGAGACACACCGAGTACAGCATCTTCCTGGCACTCTCTACCTGTAAACATGAGTACATGCGGCTCATTTGGAACTTGCTAAGTAGGAGAGCTATAGCAAGCACTCGTACGCCCGCTACAGTGCGTAGAGGGAGAGCGCGGGGCCAAGGCGAGGTCAGGGGTGAGGTCCCATCAATAATACAGGAGGCCCTATGCATGCTTGCAACAGCGCTGTCTATAGCTAGAGATCCCATCATTGTTTTGTCACCACCCAATGGGACCAACGGTTGCGCATATACGCATGCATGGCCAACCTAGCTCCATGATTCGGCGGATCCAAGCTTTTGCCATTCCTCAATCATGCATGTAAAACCATCTTGAATTTTTTGGTGCGATATTTGTTTGCTTCGTAGGGACCCTTCCAACACATGCTTTGCACTCTCTCCTTTTTATTTAGTCCGTGTATTAGCTTTGATCAAAATCAAGCTTTGTAAACTTTGACGAATTTATAAGCAAAAATATTAACACATACAATAACAAATCAATGCCATTACATTCATTATTGAATGTATTTTGACATCATATAGATTTGTTATGATAAATGTTTATATCTTTTTCTATGAATTTGGTCAAATTTTATGAAGTTTGACTTCAGTCAAACCTGACATGCAGAGGAAATAAAAACAGAGTGAGTACATATTTTTGTTTCGGTCTTGCCCGGTTATGTCTCAATCGATACTATATTCATAACATCATACATTGAGATCCGTGTAATTTTTCTTTCTTTCTTACATATTGTAGCATTTTGATTGGGACTTGGTTAAATCTCAATCCACTAAGACCTAGCCATACCGTTTTGTTTAGATAAACTATCAACATCAACCGAAAATTCAGTCGACATGAATTCTTACTCTCATCTTTTCTCTCTTTAATAACGACCGCTCGAATCCATGCAATCCCTATGCATACAACCAACAGCATTTGCTTCTTTTCAGTTGACACAGTCGGTCTCCTCCATCAAAAGTATACCAGCATTAAACAACGAAAAGAGGGTCTCCTGCTTTTGGTCAGGTGATCTTGATTTGTGCTCCATGGAAATGGATCCACTTTAACGATGCCTGGTAGTGATCCTAAAATCTGCCTCAAAAGTGCGTTACAAGGTCACGCAGAGACGCACCGAGCACGCTGCTCCACGGGAACCCTTTTCTCTTCTCTTTTCCTCCACAGCGTTTACTGCTAGGCAACAAGCACATACATGTCGCTGCCATGACACGACGCCACGGGCGCATGCACTGCATGAGATGCCCCCACCCCCACCCCCGCGTCCCCGGAACCGCACGTACCTGCATTTAGACTTTGTTCTTTATGCAACAAATCTAATCGAATTTATATACTTTTTCTAATGATCGGATCCATTTTGGTCAAGCTAAGTTTCTATATTTTTTTCTTTTACATATTTGTGCACCAATGTGTAAAAAACACGTCGTGCAATTAACTCCGAGGATCTGTACGGAATTCTGTTTTTGTTTCTCCGCATGATTATTTTTTTTGGTCGATGTGCTCTGCGGCCGCAGTATATGCATGGGTTTGAGGCACAGTGGAGGAGCCAGTTTTGGGGGCATCGCACAGCCAATTTCCTCAAGGAAAAGTTCCTAACACAGTGAGTGCGCGGCAGCCGTGAGCCGGGCACCAGTAAATTTCATGGCGCGCGAACAAAAGTGAAAGGAAGAGAGGAGGCACGCATCGGCATCTGCATCTGCAAGGAAATGCCACCGCTACAGCCCACAGATGCGGTCGGAAAATTATTTGATTTGAGCCCAGCCAGACCAGAGAGGCTCCATCTGCTGTGGCCATTGTTCCATCTCCTCTCCAACAGTGGAGTGCCTGGCATCTCTCTCCCCTCCCTGCTCCACGGCCACTGTGAAGTCAGCTCGACCAAGCTAAGCTAGAGAGAGAGAGAGAGAGAGAGAGAGAGAGGGAAGATACACGCACGCACGTCCCCATCTCTCCATGGCTCCATGTGGGAGCGCACATCCATCCATCCATGTCCACTCCACTCCATGTGTGGCTGTGCCTGCATGCATGCATGGTGCTCGCAACTGTGGCTGGCCATGCTAGCGCTAGCGCTCTCGCTTTTCCTGTGTTTGCGTCCGTGTCTATAAATACGGACGCCTCTCCTTTCCACCCATCCCTTTTCCTCCCCCGTCTTTTCCCCTGCGTCCGCCTCGCGTGCCCTAATTTCTCGCTGCCTCCTGTCTCCCACCTCTCCTTTCCACCCCCACTTCCATATATACGCATACACACTCTGTCTGAACCACCAACAGGCCACAGCACCTCCCTCTCCCTCCCCCGTAGTCACGCTGAGCTGAGCTGGGCTGGGCTGGGCGAAGAGAAAGAATCTTTCGGTTGAGATCTCTCCCCTCGCAATAATTTTGGGCTCTCTCTCTATCTACCAAGTGTTCTTGATTCAGAGGGAGAGGCCAAGAACAGCGCAAGAACAGCATGGTGTAGTGGTGCCTCTGTAAGTCTTCTGCTTCTTCCTCTTCTTCTTTGAGCCAGTTCATCCTGTTCTTCAAGCTGTAGCGGGCGCCTTTGTTCATCTTTCCTGGTTAATTAGCTGGTTATGAAACAATTTTATTTCTGTCCTGCTACTTTTGTTTTGACGACAAGGACTGCTGGTCTACTAGTTACACCTTTTTTCATTGTCTGAGATGAGATGTAGAATGGATGGCTAGGAAGTATGGAGTGGGGACTGATGTGCTCTGACCGTTTTAATTTCCTGCATATGTTCTTGGTTCCACTACAAGCTTTCTGGATCTTTACTGCTAGCATGAATGCACTGGTTGCTTGATTCTTTATTGCCTTGTTCCTTTTTGGTTCTCTATTCATTGATGACATGCTAATTGAAGCATAAATAACTACTATTTAGAGTGCTTCCGAGGGTATGAAATGCTTGAAGAAGCATCACTACTTAGAGTGCTTCCGAGGGTATGAAATGCTTGAAGAAGCATCACTTCTTAGAGTGCTTCCGAGAGTACGAAATGTTTCCTTGTATTCTTGGCAAAGGAAAGAGAACCATCCAGCTTCTTTCGTAGGGATTTCCCAAAATTTCCTCCATCATTTCCTCTTGATTGCTTCATGATTATGGCTCCTTGTTTCTCCCTCCATATCCTTTGGAATATTCATGTAGATACAAGAACGATAAGTACAGTAGTAACTAGGAACCTGCTTCATGTTTTTCTTTTTAATCTGAACGACGCTAATACACCATAGTTCCACAGATCTAAGTTTCTTCATATACTACTACCTGCAGTTCATATGAACCCCCACACCGCCATCAGTTTGTCAGTAATAACATGTAAAAGAATGGGACACCTCACTGATTTATCTGGTTTGAATGTGTGATTTTCTTCCTTTTCATGATTGAATTAGAAGATGAAATGCATAAGCTAAACCAATCTTGAGAATTATAGCTCCCACTAAGTCCGATACTTTGAGAAGTAGGCTACTCTTTGCTCTTATATCATGTTTATAGTTATCCATAACACCTTACCTCCAAAGATCCACCAACTCGTTTGCCTGAATTTTTTTCAGGTTTTTACTGCATTTTTTTTATCTTCTGTTGATTTGATGTTTCACTAATATACGTGAAAAATTAAGATGCTACGCCGAAAAAATCTTAGGTAATTGCACGTCGCTGTATGATTAGCCCTGACTCGATGCCTTTTAGCACGTAATTAGCAATCATCACGTGGGGTTGCAAAAATGGTCCCGGTATCATCACATTGATTTGAATTTGGATTTGCTTCTGTCCCTTGCTCATTCTCTCAGTTTGTTGTTTTCCTTGGGTATGAGGTGGGCATTTCGCCAGATTATGTAGAGTGTCCTTGATTGATATCATCACCCAAGTTAACGCTAGATTGCGACATAGTTCTGGATACAAGACAAGCCTTTGCAGTTGCTCATCACTCGGCTGTACTTAAGGTTTAATTCGTTGTCAATTCCTCTCTATCCCTGGGCTGTGGTGAAAAAATGACTTGAACAATTTTTCGATGCCAAGTTGAAACATGTACGCAGTTGCAAGTCCTGGTAGTAGCAGCGTACAGAGGTGTGCTGCAGATGAGAGTAATGCATCCCTCAACTGAAACCTTATTAATGCCGCAATGAATAAAGCAGCTAAACCACCAGTCATCTCTCTCTCTCTCTCTCTCTCTCTCTCTCTCTCTCTCTCTCTCGTTACCTTTTCTTGTCTGAAGATTATCACTGCCGCTGCGCCTTGTACTTTTTGAAGACTACAATCTTTGACTTGCAAGGAGCTAATTTGATTTCTTTTTTCTTTTCCTTCATGGATGGATGATGGGTGGATGGATGCAGAGTGCATTATGAGGAGTGAGGAGGTGGGATGGGCGATGGCCTGTGGTGCAGGTGCGGATGGAGATGAAGGAGAGACAGCGGTGGCGGCCTGAGGAAGACGCCATCCTCCGCTCCTACGTCCGGCAGTATGGCCCCCGCGAGTGGAACCTGGTGGCGCAGCGCATGAACGTGCCCCTCGACCGCGACGCCAAGTCCTGCCTCGAGCGCTGGAAGAACTACCTCCGCCCCGGCATCAAGAAGGGCTCCCTCACCGACGACGAGCAGCGCCTCGTCATCCGCCTCCAGGCCAAGCACGGCAACAAGTGGAAGAAGATCGCCGCCGAGGTGCCCGGCCGCACGGCGAAGCGCCTCGGCAAGTGGTGGGAGGTGTTCAAGGAGAAGCAGCAGCGGGAGATCAGGGACAGCCGGAGGCCGCCCCCCGAGCCCAGCCCCGACGAGAGGGGCAGGTACGAGTGGCTGCTCGAGAACTTCGCCGAGAAGCTCGTCAAGGAGAGGCAGCAGGTGGGAGTGGGCGCCACGCCGCTGCACCACCACCACCTCATGGCGGCTCCCATGCTCCCGCCCTGGATGTCGTCCACCGCCGCCAACGGCGCGCCCGTCTCTCCGGCGCCGCCGTCGCCGTCCGTGACGCTCAGCCTCGCCTCCGCCGTCGTCCCGCCCCCGACCGCCGCGCCGTGGATGCAGCAGCAGCAGCAGATGGCGGAGGACGGCGCCGCGTTCGGGTTCGCCAGGCCGCCACCGGCGCCGGGCATGGTGGCGGATGCTCCTCAGGCAGCGCTGGCAGAGCTGGCCGAGTGCTGCCGGGAGCTGGACGAGGGGCACCGCGCGTGGGCCGCGCACCGGAAAGAGGCCTCGTGGAGGCTGAAGCGCGTGGAGCTGCAGCTGGAGTCGGAGCGCGCGTGCCGGCGGCGCGAGGCCGCGGAGGAGTTCGAGGCCAAGATGCGAGCGCTGTGGGAGGAGCAGGCGGCCGCCGTGGAGCGCCTCGAGGCGGAGTACCGGGAGAAGGTGGCCGGGCTCCGGCGTGATGCCGAGCTCAAGGAGCAGAAGATGGCGGAGCAGTGGGCCGCCAAGCACGCCCGCCTCACCAAGTTCCTCGAGCAGGTCGGCTCGTCGTGCCGCCGCTGGCCGCCCGGCGAGATGAACGGCCGCTGACCGCGCGCCGGCCGCTTTCTTGCACGCGCAGCATCCAAACCTCAAGAAGACGATGGCATCGCATGCTTGTTCGTTGCACAACTTCTTTAGTTTTCTTCTCTTTTATTACAACCGTTGGAAGCTTCACTTCTCACTCTAGTCTAGCTGATCAGAAAATGTAAGCCGTTGCTGCTGCTACTGCCTTAATTTCACTTCTTTTCGGCCTGTCATTGATCATGCCAATCATCATTTCTTAGCAATAAATAAACATTTGGAAATCATGACAAGTTCAACAAGAAATCATTTGATCGTGGGCATCGAAATGCAACTTCTATGAAAAAGATCCATACGATGTGACCAGGCGGCATGGTAAGCTATCAAACAGAAAAAGTAGTGCAACAAATGATTTCATGGTAAGCTATCAAACAGAAAAAGTAGTGCAACAGGGTGCATTGCTAAGAGAAATTTGGAACCCCATATGTTGGCATCAGCATTCAATCTTACGTTTTTCTCAAGAATACGAAGGTTCATTTAACAAGAAAGGCCACTAACATGATCTGCGGTCACAACCTTGGCTATCCTCATCAGTTTAACGGCGGGAAAATGATTCAAGCCTCTTCTCTTGTTTTACTGGTCCCAGGGCCGGCCCTAGCATCTTAGAGGCCCTTTGCGAACTTCTGAACTCCACCGGCCATGGGCCCTCGCCTTGGCACGGCTCTGACTGCCACGACTATCACCAATAATGTTGTGGCAGGTGTGTAGTGGCTGCGACCCGTCGGAAGAACCGACAACGAGATTCATCCAACGAGAAAAATCATTAGTTGCATGGTGCCTAATTAGTGGAGTATTGCATGCTTTTTTTTAGCTTGAATCGGAGTATTGCATGATGCATGGGGCCTAATTAAAGGAGTGTTGCATGCTTTTTAATTTTGTGGGAAGGAGTATTGCATGCTGCGACTCATACTTGCCAAACTAAATGGGATTTTTGGCTGCATGGAATGGATACACATCTCACACTGCATAGATCCGGCATTAATTGAGATCGATAATCAAGGATATTAGCAGATTGGCTGATTTCATGGCCAAAAATTTCGCCGCAGAGTTAATTCCTAGCTTGGTCGCGCAGCGGGAGTAGGTGACTGGCTGAATGGTTGTCTCTTGGCTGGTCTTTTTACCTTCTCTATCTTTTCTTCTTCCTAATATGCTTATATATCTACTAGAGACATGCAAACGGATGGGCCCTTGCTTGGGCTGGGCCCTAGGCGGCCGCACTCCTCGCCATGCCCCAGGGCCGGCCCTGACTGGTCCTCCATGCATCCTCTTCCACCACCCCACCATCCCCACTAATTCTCCTCCTCTGCCCCGGTGGCACGCAACCAAGCTTGGAAGAAGATGATCCCAGGGGTGGGACGTGTGGGATCACCCGATCTAAGCTTCGATAGGGCTCAATCGAGCTGTTTTCACGGTTGACGGGTCTGGATTGGCGAAGGCGGTGCCTTCATTGTTATGGTACGAGGTTAGTGATATTGAGAACTTTTTGACAATGCATATGTTGTTTGAGCATGTTATAGACAACATGTCGGTATGTTGCATATCCATTGACAACATGTTGTAAGTTGCATACACATTAGCAACATGTGTTAAGGATTCTGTACAGCTGCCAAGAAGGATTGAATTTTCTTCATTGTTACATGTTGCTTGTGTTGTGTTTTTATCCATCTAGACCTTAATGGATGATCAACATGATTTTGGAAACTCTTTCAGAGACATGAAACATACAACTGACAAGAAAATTTAGAAGACAATATGGTTGTTCTTTCATAGGCGTATACAATAAGTGACCATTTTCACAAAGGACGACATTTTTCTCGTGACGTAAGACGTAAAATGTTTAAGCAGAGTAAAGGGAATAATGGTCAAATTAGTGTTTTTCCTACATATATGATGTCCAACAATTTTCACAAAAGAAGTGACTTTTCGAGACCCCTCTTTACACCTCATATTGGCTAGTTAATATAATGATGGTACACAATGAATGTTAAGGATAAGTGATTTACTTAAGTTGTGCGCTTTTCTTGCCATCAAGCTTTTTAGGGCTTAAACCGCTCGGTGGTTTCTGAATTTATGGTGGTTCCTTAATAGGATGTTCATTTACACCCACTTGCAAACTAAATTGCACAAAGCAACCCTGTTAGTAGTGCACTAAGTTCAGGCTAATTCACAATGGGAGACTTCCTGTCGCAGGTACATATATGCGATGAACATCCAGCCTCACTGATTAACAGACACAAAAAATGCTAAATTGATTATGTTTGTGCCAACACCAAAGACGGGGCAACTGAAACCGTAGTTGCTTTGTAGATAATATATATATGCGGAAAGTTATTGCCATGCCTTGTTGTGTTTGAGGTGAGGAAAAGGGAATGGACATGTATAGCACACACGAGACAAAAAAAAAACTTTAACCTGTTGTGGACGTAAAAGAAATTCAGCAGTGATCAAGAATCTCATAATTTAGGACAACATGTGAATATGAAAGTGTTTCCAGCGACACATAGAAGCAATTATCTCGACTTAACAGCAAAATAATTGACTCGTCAATGTTGCTTTTTTTGCGAAAACTCCCCAATGCTGTTGTTCGAACAAGTGGAAATTAAAGCATGAGCAGTGTTCACTATGGGGACGAAGCAGATGCGGCGTGTGCATAGTCATTGCCGAGAAAGAACACAATGACGGGGAACACCACGTACCTAATTTTGGGAGCTTCTGTTCCGTGCCTTAACCGCCCGAACATTTCCCTCGCGCTCACACACCCACACTGGTGGGCCGGCACAAGAAGAAGGCGAGCGGCTTGATCGTCTGTTCACGAGAAAATGTGAGCAACATTTTTTAACTGTAATTTCTCTTTTGAAGTTAGAGCATCTAATATGGATGCTGATAGGTTAGCCAAGTTTGCACATTCTCTTGATCAGGGGCTGACATGTCTGGCTAGAGCAACCCCATGTTCCGATTTGTATTCCACATCATGTGGACTTTGAGTCATAAAGCTTGGTTTAACACTTAAAAAATGAGAAAATGTGAACGGCCTCGTTCGTTCGAGGTTGAACAATTTCCATGGTAGCTCGATCGCGTTTGACCGGTCGCGATTAACCAATCTACGTGTCAACTCATGACTTTTGAGAAAATACTATTTAAAAAAATAAAAAAAGTTCACTAAAAAGATATCTTGAATTCAAAAATGTTTATTGATTTTGAAAAAAGTTCACAAACTCCAGAAAGGTCATGAATTTGACAAATAGTTCATCCATACTGAAAACAGTTCATCGAAATTATATTAAAAAGTTCATCGAATTTGAATAAAAGTTCAACAATTTTGAAAAAAAAGTTCATCAAATTAAAAAAATCCTGGGATTTGAAATAAGTTCGCGAATTTCTAATTTTCACGAATTAAGAATAGTTCACGAATTTTACCAAAAGGAAAGAAAGATAAAAAAGGAGAAAGAAAAATAAAACAAAAACAAAAAAAGGAAACCGCATCATTTTTTAAGCATTGCATTTAAAAAAGTAAAAAATAAACAGTTTTTTTAAAAGCACATCTAGATGTGCCATAAGTATTGCACATCTAAATCATATGGCATTGATCTTACATTGAGATTCATGTGAATATTTTCTTTCTCTTTATACTTGATTCACTCATTTAGATGTGCAATAATTAAAGCACATCTAGATGTGCCCTAGACATACCTAAAAAGAAAAGGCAAACTTGGTAGAACACGTCGAGAGTCCCACTTGGTTACTGCCTTGGCACTGAATTGGGATGTCGGTAGTTTGAATCATGCCGCACGCGTGATTTTTGGAGTTCAAAACAGAAGGAAAAAATATAAATGGGCCGGCCCAGAACCGAGGGGGGTGTGCGCCCTGTACGGAATGCACTCTAAAGGCGCCGAATAGGATTCCGGCCTAATTTTTGGGTCACGTTCGCCCTCCTATTAGGCGCTTCAGGCGCCAGAGAAGCTCCCTAGCACCTATGCGCCAACCCTGGTGGACCAGTCCATGTAGAGCTAGATCGATCGCATTTTATTTTCTCTATAGGTTCGCTCGATCGCATTTAGAAAAAAGAACAAAAAATTCATACGAAAGAGAAAAAATCATGAGTACAAAAAGAAAAAGTTCATCAATTTGAAATAAATTCATCAAATTTCAAAAAAGAACCGATCTGAAGAAAAAGTTCACATATTTGCTAAACTTTCATCGAACCAGGAAGAAAACGACTGAAAACAAAAAAGGAAAAAAAGAAAAAAAAGAAGAAGAAAAGTTGAATGTTACGAGATTCTGCTGGGTGGTTATACCAGCCTACCTCAATGAAGGAGGTCGCTGGTTTGATTCACAACCAGCACGCTTTTTTCGGATTGAAACACAGAAAGAAAAAAGCTAAATGGTCTAGCCCAGCGTTGGGACGCTTCAGGCATCCGTTTGTAAAATACAGAGTAACATGCCTGAAGTCTAGATAGGAAACGCCCAGCTAGACAGCATCGGATCGACAACGCCCAATCCTAAAGCAATGTGAATGCACCACTAAAAATTCCCAATAAATCCTGATGTTCAGATTTTAAACATGTCATTTCGAACTTTTTTTATGGCAACTTTAGTTGATGTGAGATGGCAACTTCAGATGTTAAAACATGACAATTTTGAAATAGTTTTTTTCTTAGAAAATTGTCATGTTTGTCAACCTGCCTAAACCAAAATTGCCATAAAAAACGTTTGGATTGCTATGTTTAAAATCCGAATGTTCGGGATTTATCATCTCAAAGAAAAACTTCTGTGGATGCTTGTGGTAGCTTGGTAGGTCGTCCTGTTTTACTGTTTCTCAATGGTAAGCTGTTAGGCGTACTTTCGAAAAAAAAGAGAATCAGATGCTCCCGACCGCCTAGAATCCGCTTCGATTATTGCTCGTCCAATACTAAAACACAAATGGAGTCATGTAGTGCTGCACCGAACACAGAGCACCGCACTTCACACACACACACATACCCCGCAAAACACACACACACACGCGCCTGAACAAGATAGAAACCGGAGGAGGCTTGACTTGGTGACAAGAAGAGAAGAAAACGGAAGGATAGGTATCGGCTACCGTCTACCGAGAGAGGAGCCGTGAGGAGTGAGGATGTGCCTGGTGGTGGTGTGCGACGAGCCGGAGCGCGTGGTGGCGACGTACCAGGCGGCAGGGCGTTGCCCCTACTGCGGCGGCGGGGTGGTGGCGACCGACGTGGAGAGCGCGCCCAGGCTCTGCTACGTCCCGCTCTGCTTCCGCGTCCGCCGCCGCTTCCACTGCTCCCTCTGCTCCCGACGGCTCGCCTCCATCGCCTGATCCCTGATGCATATCTCTTCTCTTCTTCTACTCTCTTCTCTAGTACTAGTACATATACATATCTTAGATGTCGTCTCCATGGATATAGAGGATAGCTGCGTCTCGTATCGATTGTATCACGCGATATACTAGTACCTTTTTTCAATAAAAAACAAAGGTTCTCCTTAGCTCTGTGTACAACCAGCGCAAGGACCTCTAAAACGAAATTTCATTATTATTATTTTGAGCTGAATGAAATTTCATTATTGCAGTTGCAGGGATATGATCAAATAGCTATCTCCGCTTCGTCAACGCTGAACGCTGAAACTCCTCTTTTTTACTTATTTGAGAAAACGGCCCTCCAGTAACATGTTTGAGCTGATATTTACTTCTCAAATCCTATTGAGCCTCCAAATCCTTTGGTTTGTAGGAATTTTATAGGATAAGATTTGCAAAGAAAAAATTTCTTTGAGCCTTTTGGTCTGTAGGAATGAATTTTTATTCCTGTGTAGAATAGGAATCAATCATCTGCATCCATGGACATCTCCCCATATCTCTAGTGTCACCGGCTTGCAGTTGATTTCTTCTTCCATACAAGCCTGCCCTGAGGTAGTAGGTTCATGGAATTGCTCTGCTGGACAATACATTTGAGACGATGAAACAATTTAGGGCCTCCTTGATTCAAAGGATTTTCAAAGAACTTTTGGAGAATTCTAATTCTTAGGAAAAAAGTTATCTTGATTGTTTGATTCATAGGATTGTAAACCATATAATTTTTTATACAATTCATTTGCACTAGATTTCATAGAAAATATCCCATCTACTCAAACCTCTTTGAAAGAATTCTGCGTTTTTTCTATGCATAATCAAACACTCATACAATCCTGTAGAATTCAAGACGACATTCCACTCTAATCCCATGTTTTTTTATTCCCGCGTTTTGAAAATCTTCTCTTTTTATCAACCCGTGTTATGTGGCTCGCCTCTAGGCGGCGGCTCACGCTAGCGCCATGCTGGTCGCCGTCTCCGCCGGCGGATTCCGGATCTCGGTTCTCTTGCCTCGGTTCTACCGATGTGGAGGAGATGGTGCATGCGGTTGATGACTCCTCCATTAGTGCAGCTACACTGCCACCTTCGGCTGTTCGCCGGAGAAAGACAGACGAGGAACTAGCAGCTGAGTTCCGGGAGGACATTGGTTACCCTACACCGGCGTCTAGGGTGTGGGAGAGACCGTCGTCTCGACGGACAGGTGAGGTTTCTCGTGTTTGCAGGTCCGACCAGTACGGAGAACCGTCGCTGGACTCGGCGGAAATCACGGTGGCCTCTACGTTGGATGCTATCGTGGATGTGCTTGGATTGAAGGAGCCACCGGTGATACTTGCCGCGGCCACCCGCGGCGTCTCCGGGGTGCCCGTCCGGTCAAGACCGCTGATCAAGCCTTGGATCGGCCCGATCCCGCCTCCTCGGGCATCACCGCCAAGAACCCTCGGCAATCTCTTGCCGCAGGGAGATGGGAAGGCCTCGCCGGAAGTCTCTTCGCCGGCGTTTTCTTCGGGACAAGCAAGGCGGAGCGCCAAGGCGGCCACAGTTCGAAATCTCGATCCGTCATCTGCGGCCGTTTCAGGTCTGACATGCCATCTGACGAATCCTGGACGTCGGCTCCGGATGGTCAATCTCAGCCATTGGCTTGGCCACTTGTGGAACCGGGCAGAGCAGGCAGTCAACCCTAGGTTCGATCGTTCCTTCGTGGTTGTTGTCCGCTCCCCAGCAATGACGCGCGGCGACCCATCTGCGCCGCCGGGCACCTCCACCGGCCACCAACCGAATCCGACCTCAAGCTCCTCTCAGCCTAATGCTTCTCCGTCGGGAGGCGCTCCCGGCTTCGCTCTGGGGGTTTACCAGCCGGTGCAGGTTGCGCAACCCTATGCTTCGTTGGGAAATTTCGTGCCGGTGCAGCATTCCACGGCGCATCAGGCATCGTTCCAGCAACAGTTTTTTGGCACCTCGGGTCAGTTCGTGTCGCAGCCGCCGTATCTTCTTCAACCAACGACTGGCTTCGCGCAGCAACATCAGCAGCCGACAGGTTTTCAACCTGCGATGAACGCTTATGTGCAACATCATAGTAGTCATGCCGGGGTGCAGATGGCTCCCAGCTTCAACGCCAGACCGCCACATAACTCTGCTGCCACCGGAGGCCCTGCTGCTGCACGACCTCGCAAGCCGAAGGGAAGCAAAGGTGGCCGTCAGAAGACGAACCAGGGAGCAGTCCCGCCAGTTTCCACTCCCCCACCTGCGGTCCCTATGATGCCGCCACCAGTGCAGGTTCCCGCCATGGCCCCTACGTCTATGATGGTAGCGGGTCACGGCCAGTACGCACATATGCAGCTGGGATCAATGCAACAGCAGCCTACACCTACTTTTCAGCCTTCAGGGGCAACCGAGGGAGTAGCAATTCCTAAGAAGGTATGGTGCTATAAGTGCCAGTCTGCAACGCACACAAATGATGACTGCGAGACACAACAGTTTTGTTTCATTTGCAACAAGACTAATCACCCGATGACTTTGCGGCGCTGCCCTGCTCTCAAGATGCCGAAGCCGGTGGCGATGCTTCGTGGTTACGGAACTGAAAGTATGGCCTTTTTTCAAATGCCCGACAATGTCTGCAGGGAGGATCTTGCACCACGGGATTCACTGACGGCCTTGGTATCTATTTCTGGTGGCTCTATAACTCCCAGTATCGTGGAGGCAGAGGTTGCTAAGATTGCTCAGTATCAATTGCAGTGGACGTGGGAGGCCATACCGCACGGTCAGGATACTTTTCTCATGTCCTTCCCGAGTGAGGAAGTTTTGCACAGGGTCACTGGGTTTGCTGTTTTCATCAAGTCTCACAATGTCACTATCGAGTTTAAGCCTTGGAAGCCAGAAGAGATACCACACCGTTTCGAGCTGATACCTATTTGGGTCCATGTGCATGGGGTGCCTCACGCTCTCCGACACTTCTTGGGGCTTTGGGCGGTTGGCTCGGTCATTGGCGCTACGCTTGATGTCGATCTTCTCTGTTTACATTGGAGAGGAATTGTTCGTATCCAGGTAGCGGTGCTAAACCTGGATGCTTTCAGAAGCAGCACCATTGACTCTCTCTCTCTCTACCGATGTGGTGGTTCAAAGAAAAGGTTATGAGTTCCGATATGGTCTGGAAAAATCAGACTTCCAGGTTGATAGCGATTTTGTGCCTCGAGTCTGGGAGCATGGCGACAATCCAGGAGGCGACAAGGGGCATGACAGGGAGGATACAGTGAAGAGCAACGATCCAAGCAAGAGGTCCAAACCCACTTCAACTCCTAACAACCCTTCGGCCATTTCTACCACAGACGGTGTGGTGCCCATGCAAATGACCAGTGCCATCACACCGCTGAACCCTCATCGAGGCCTTCTTGTCACAGCTGCTTCTTCGTCTTTAAAGGAGTCTTCTTCGACGGCGCCGGCTACCTCGTCTATGGCTGCCCCTCCGACGACGTCGGCTCCGCTGTCTTTGGCGTCGCCGACTCCGACCCACCCGTCGGCACCGCCCCTCGACGAGGGGAGCCACGCGTGCCCTATATCTGAGGGGGTGGCACCTGCGGGGGTGATTGCGAGCGCTACATCTCCGCCACCATCGCCAGCACCTGTCTCTCCGACTCGTCGGGGAGTGATCTTCTCCCCGGCCGTTAGAGCTGGCTAGGAGTCGGCCATGGCGCAGCTGCAAGCGCTGTCATCTACTCCTCCGCCACCAGGGGGCGCCGGCATATGGTCTCGAGGAGGTGGACGACCAGCCCATACGATCTTCTTCTTCATCGCCACTGCAGTCTACTCCGCCTCTTGGGGTCGTCGGGATGTCTTATTCATCGCCGCAGCAGACTACTCCGACTCTCGGGGACCCTGGGATGGGCTCGGTGGCCGATGTTTCTCCTTCACCGCTGAGGCGCAGCGGGCGTCACTACGTCGGGACTGATGGTTCAGCAGACACAGACGAGGACTCTATGGTGAAGGCCATGCATAGGACGGCGGTTCGCAACCTTGACTTCGAAGGTACCTCTTCTCGCAAATCTTTTATGTCTTTTGATAAATCCAAAGTTTCTTCAAATATTACTAGACTTGGAGTGTCACTAGGACGTAATGAGAAAGAGGTAGATTTTTCGGTTAAGGCTCTTAAACAAGTGGAGTTCGACCGGCTTATGGTTGCTCCTAGATTGTCGAGTTTTGTTGACCCTCTCGTGTCAGATGAGGAGGATGAGGATGCTGATGCCAATCACGAAGGCAAGCTTCTCTCTCATTTGGTTAAAGACACGACTGAAGTAGACCTTGACGATACTGTACGCGACACTACGCTTTGTGAGCTTGTCGCATCGGTGCGCAATAATAAGTCTAACTCAGCAAAGAAAAGAGGGCGCTCTTCTAAGAAGGCGAAGGTCTCTAAACAAAAATTGGTTCATCATGAGAGGCATGTTTTGGAATAGCAGAGGTCTGGGTGACTTGGCTAAACACAAACACATTGTCGATTGCGTAAAGGATCATGCGTTGGACTTTGTAGCTATCACCGAGTCGGGCAAACGTGATTTTCCAACACGTACTCTCGACCACTTTTCAAGTGGTTTGGACTACGAATGGCACGTACTGCCGCCGACCGGGAGGTCCGGTGGAATATTGCTGGGTATTAACTCTACTTACTTGCAACTATTGTCCACGTCAAAGGGGGATTATCATATTAAATTCCACCTTCGAAACAAGTCCGACAACTTCCTGTGGAGTTTGGTGGCTGTATATGGCGCCGCTCAAGAGGAGTTTAAGTCTGCATTTCTAAAAGAACTTGTTAATACCTGTCGAGACAATCCTCACCCCATGTTAATTGGGGGGGATTTTAATATCCTTCGATATGAGCAGGAAAAAAACAATGACCGCTTTGACACTAGGTGGCCTTTCCTCTTTAATGCTGTTATTGACAGCCTGGATCTGAGGGAGATCACGATGTCTGGCCGTCAGTA